AGGCTCCTACGACAGTGTTACACGTAGATGAGTTATAAAAAAAACATGGATGTGGCGGGCCCGGCTCTGATGGCTAACTCGAATCGTTCGATGTTCTAGGCGGTGAGAACCGCCCAGGGACGTGGGTGTACGGTGTGTACGCGGTGTGGAGGGTTGTGCGGCGCGCCCGTCTGCGGCCTCGCTGCGTCCCATCCGTTGCCCTAACAGTGTTTCTGGCACTAGGTGAGTGTGTAGGGGGGGGGGGTCTATGGACTAGAGTATCCACTAACCATTAGGTGGACTGTGTGGTCGTGTGTTACTCTTAATTCTATAAAAGAGGTAAGGGAGAGAGTATTGACAGTGCGATGGTATGTGTTTTGTGCTCACTTAGCCTCTTGCTCGGTATCGGTTATTCATGCCAGCTGGCAAATTCTTGTAAAGGCCTGGCTGTGGTCCAGCTGTGACTAAAAATTTAATTATAAAAATGATCGTATTTTCATTTACACATACATATAACCTATATCATATTATAGAAGTGGCTATATGCCAGTACCACCAGCCCGTCTATTATTTAAAAGGTTTTTACTTACTACCACGGTAACGCCACGCTTCAGCTGTATTATGACTCTAACTAAAATGGGTCAGCTCAGTCGAGGAAGGACCACGCTTTCACAGAATATCAGCGTAAAATAGCAACATAATGCTGTTGTTTCGTTTGGTTAGTGTAGAGAACCGGAGACTTTTTTTACTAGTAACTAAGCATTTCTTCTTAGTCCTCTAGTGTGACAACAAATTTTGATTATTTTTCCATGATAAATAGAACACAGTATTCACTTACCATCTGGTGGACTGTACGCACAATTGTCAGAATTACTTCTATAAAAAGAAAACTTACCAGTAGGTGAAATTTAGTGGTAAAGTGTTATTCGTAAAGTTTTATTGTTTTAATTTCACGTCTGCATTTGGGTTTTATGACGTAAATGCACTATTGAAGAACTACAGACCAACTTATATTCTGGACCATTACGAATTGCCCCGCACTTGACTTAACGATTTCCAGGTTCGCGAACTTGGTCCTTTACTGCTGGCCGTATTGGGAAACTAAGGCTACTGATCGTGCTATGCAGAGGTCTAAAGTCGGAGTTCCTCTGCGTAATAGACTTCGTAATGAGGGTATCCGCAGTAGAACTAGAGTAACCGATATAGCCCAACGGATCAGCAGCAGCAATAGGTCGGTCATATATTTTTTATAGGATAGGGTGACAATCGAGCACACGGTCCACCTGATAATAAGTGGTTGCTGTGACCCATAGACATCTAAATTTATACTTAATAAAGAATAAAAATGCAGACGCGTTGTCACCCGTGAGGACTAAGATGGAATGCCTCTTTTTCAGTAAAATGGGTTCTCTACACTCACCATACGAAACACAGCAGTGTTAAGCTGCCATTTTACGCTGGTATTCTGTGAGAGCGTGGTCCTTTCACGCTCTCACAGCACGAAACAGCACGAATGGGTCGAGCCGACACATTCGTGCTACAACTATACTACTAATATAGCTGCAGCATTTCTCTACCACTATAACTCGAATATATACAGCTCGAAGAACTGATAACCGCTGGGAAATAAAGGTTGTTATCCGGCGGTTATCGGTTAACGAAGTGTAAGGCAAGGAAGTTGATAGATGCCTGTGGCACGAGACCGTGGCCTTTAGCATTCCTTCGGAGAGGCCTATGTTCAACAGTGGACTTGTGATAGGATTTAACAATGATAAATGATATTATAACTGCGCAAAATTACAGTGAACAATATACAACATTCTCAAAGAAACGTCTAAAACAGATAGAAGACTGACAGACACTGCGGCGATTCAATTTTGGCACGCAAAATTAAAAATTAAAACTAACCTATACAAACGTTTGTAGACAATTGTAAACAATAAAAAAATAAACAATTATAGATACATTCCTATCAGCAATTTGAAATATTAAAAACGAATATTTCTATTAGCCAATATTAAAAACGATTCTGTATACTGAACTACAATGTAGCAAATGTAATTACAGTCAACCTTCACTGAAACTACATTGTAGATAACACTCTAGAGTCTAGATCCTCTTAGAAGCCTGCTTTCTATCGCAGGATACGAAACAGTGCACTAAGAACAATTTTACTACGAAACAAGTTACTACCAACAGCTTTGCTTTTAAGTTTCCTGTAATTACATTTTCTCTTAGATTTTATTTAATTTTATTTATTAGGTTCACCAACGGTAGTTGAAGCTACTTGTTTTTACATTATGATTTCACTTATAGATTTATACTTAAGAAAAACCTGTGTTATTACGTATATGTACGTAGTGAAAAAAAAAACTTTTTGTTGTACTATTTTGTTACATAATATTTTATATGTTTTTTACGTGGTAGAGCAATGCTGCAGCTATATTAGTAGTATAATTGTAGCACGAAGCGTGGTCCTTCCCCGGTACAGTCGACCCTACCGGGTAAGGACCACACTCTCACAGAATACCAGCGTAAAATGGCAGCTTGACACTGCTATGTTTCGTATGGTGAGTGTAGAGAACCGGAGACGGGTGACGACGCATCTGCATTTTGATTCGCAAACGAGGATAGATGTAAATTTCTATGGGCCACAGCAACCACTTACCATCAGGTGGGCTGTGTGCTCGTTTTTCACCCTATCCTATAAAAAAATGTCAATGCCTGGGTAAGTACCACCCTCTTGGCTATATATGCTCCTAAACAGCAGTGGTTGTAGTGCTGTGTTCCAGTTTAAAGGATATAAAGAAACTGTTTAATAACAGGCTGTGAGGTATTCCATTTTAATCCTGAGAGGAGACCATGCATCTACGAGTATAGCCTTCATTGTTTGTAGTTGACTGCAGATGTCCATGGACTGCAGTACCAAATTACTTTCAGATGAATTTCAAGAATTTATAAAAAAAACGTGTGTGTGTGTGTGTGTACTTATGTACGCACGTAAGAAGTTATACTTCTTTAGCGTAACAACAGCGTAGATTCATATATATTTGAATAACTATCTTGAATATAGTTATCAGTTCTCACGAAAACTTACGTTCTCACGAAAGTTTACGTGGTAGAGCCATGCTGCAGCTATATTATGATTGTAGCACGAATGGGTCGGCTCGACCGGTGTGGGACCACGCTCTCACACAATACCAGCGTAAAATAGCAGCTTTGTGCTGTTGTGTTTCGTCTGGTGAGTGTAGAGAACCGGAGACCCTTTTACTGGAAAGGAGGCACTCCATCTTAGTCCTCAGGAGTGACAACGCATCTGCATTTTGATTCTTAATCGAGGATAAATGTAGATGTCTATGGGCCCCGGCATCCACTTACCATCAGGTGGACTGTGTGCTCGTTTATCACCCTTATTCTATAAAAAAAATTAAATTTGACAGACAATTATTATTACCAACTGAAGTAGTCGCTTTTAGGTTTCGGTGTACGCGCGCATTGTAACAATTTCATGGTGTCGTTTTTAGGTGTCGGTGGGTGCGCGCATCGTAAAAAATTCACTCTTATCATTTTTCTCAAACGCGCCAAAAGAAGTATAACTTCAAAAATATAATTAAATTGAATGCATTCTTGTATTGAGGCTAAGAGGCCGAGAAGGGTCGTACTAGGTCAGGGAACAACAGCTCGTATTAAAATTTCATAGTAGGTATGCGAGCGCACTTAATTCGATCCTCGTAGGCATCACTAAAATTTGCAATGCCAAATGTCGCCGTATAGTGGCGGTGTTAAAGAATCCACTACCCCATATCACACCAAGGGTATGATAAGAGGTGACAGAGAGAAATTAAAAGAACAGCAGATGGGCAGCAGCATCATCCAGATAAAAAACTGCGGTTGCCAACCAACAGTGTAACCAGATGGTGGCAATGATGGCAAATATCCCCTCTAAGAGGCAATCTATAGGGGAGATTATTGTTCTTTGTCCTATTGGCTTTGAAAATAATGGCCACTGTATACGTTGTAATGTAGATTATTTTAGATTCTATGATATATCTTAAAATAAAAATGCAACCGACAAGTAACTTTTGTTGAACAAATGTCTTAAACTTAACTTAGAAAAGAAGTTATATTAAAAAAGATTTAAGTATCTAAGTTGAACGTGCTGAACGAATGAAAGGTTGCCTGATTGTTCAAATTTTGCGAGCTTAAGAGAAATTAAAGCGTCACGTTTATACTACTTTCCAAAAATTATTCAATTTATGTTAGGTTTTGGATTTATATCTTTTCTTTGTTTCGATATAGTTTAAAACGTGGTAGAGCCATGCTGCAGCCATATTAGTAGTATAGTTGTAGCACGAACGGATCGGCACGACCAGGGACAGACCACGCTCTCACAGAATACCAGCGTAAAATGGCAGCTTGACACTGCTGTGTTTCGTATGGTGAGTGTAGAGAACCGGAGACCCATTTTACTGGAAAAGAGGCATTCCATCTGAGTCCTCACGGGTGACGACGCATCTGCATTTTGATTATTTATTGAGGATAAATGTAGATGTCTATGGCTCACAGCAACAGTGGTACCCTTACCATCAGGTGGACTGTGTGCTCGTTTGTCACCCTATCCTATAAAAAAAAGACATGGAGAAAAAATTTCCGTCCTCTATCCATTAATGTTTAATTACGAACTCACAATGTTGCAGTACATATATCGTGTTAATAGATTCCATTTCATAGAAACAAGAAGATTGTTAATAGATAATGTATTGTAAAAATTGCACGGGGTCTGTGCAAAAAGCGATTGCCTGGCACGGCCACCTTAGGTTGCATTTTACACCAAAAATACAGTGATTCATTTAAAAAAAGGTGGTACAAATACTCTTAGAGGTAAGTACGAGTACATTCAATTACTTATATACATATTCAGCATACATACGTACTCTTAGAGGTAAGCACACCTCGATTACCGATCCAGGGTGACCGAGCTAGGCAAACGAACTTTTATTGATCAAAATACAACAACTTACCTTCATTAGAACAGATTCACTAAGCTTTTCTCTGTTGATAATCTTTATGGCCACCTTCTTGCCGGTCACACAATGCACTCCGAGTTTCACCAAGCCTGCAACAAATAATATCTTCAAATAAAAGGGATAAACGGTACACATAGTGATATTATTGGAACGGTAGACATAATGTTATTGTTGGAACGGTACACATAGTGATATTATTGGAACTGTACACATAGTGATATTATTGGAACGGTACACATAGTGATATTATTGGAACTGTACACATAGTGATATTATTGGAACGGTACACATAGTGATATTATTGGAACGGTAGACATAATGTTATTGTTGGAACGGTACACATAGTGATATTATTGGAACTGTACACATAGTGATATTATTGGAACGGTACACATAGTGATATTATTGGAACGGTGCACATAGTGATATTATTGGAACGGTACACATAGTGATATTATTGGAACGGTAGACATAGTGTTATTGTTGGAACGGTGCACATATGATATTCAAAGGTATAAACGATAATTAAAATATGAGTATCGGTTATTATTTGATAATCAAAAAGAAAGATTCATTCTCTTAAAGTCTTCAAATACTATAGTCAGTCGCTGTTTTTATAAATGCGGAGACTGTGACTGTGATGCATTCCGTCGGAGTCCGCGGGGGTGGCAACTCATCTGTATCCTTCCTTCTATATAGTGCATGTTTTCATGCACCGCAGTGACACTTACATCGAGTGGACTCTAAGCTTATTAGTCACTTCAGTTTTATAAAAAAGAAACCTTAATAAGCGGACCAGAGATTTAAAAAATAATATTTCAAAATGGAAATAGACGATTGTAATTAAAGGTACATTTACTGTAATCTTTGACAGCTCGGTAACGCAACAGCCGGTAGCTTTGCGAATAGCTGGTTCGAATCCAACACGAAACATGATACATACAAATATTTTTACCGCGTCTGGATGTTTGCCTATGCACAAATTGTATGTACGTTAAAGGCCTCAACGACACATGGGAATCCTAGTAATATCTATACAAATAAATAAAATTGAAGTGTCTGTTTGTAATATCAAAATAACAGCTTTTTACTAAATGCATATGAAAGTATATACGGTACTCATAACAAAAACACAATTTTTAAAATGTTTGTCTGTCTGTCTGTCTGTTTGTTCCGGCTAATCTCCGAAACGGCTGGACGGATTTCGACGGGACGTCCCTGGCAGATAGCTCATGTTATGAGGAGTAACTTACATTTTACTTATATTTTAGAAAAAGAATTAGGGTTCCGCGCAACATAATTAAAACCCTAAATTACACGCGGGCGAAGTCGCGGGGAACAGCTAGTTAACTCGTTATATTTTATCAAATGTTTCTTTTAAACTGAAATGACTAAAATACTTACAGTCTACGTGATGGGGGTATTTTTATAGAATCGTAGGTGACACACGAGCACAAGGTCTATAGTGATAGTAAGTAGGTGTTGTGCCCAAAGATCATCTAATCTTGATTAATAATCAAAATTCAGATGCCGTGTCACCCCTGAATGCTATGAAGAAATGCCACACAAACGCACACACACAGTCTCAAATTATACTCTCCCGTACAATATCAACGTCTCGGGATGTAAACACCAGCGCACTTAAAAAGAAGTATAATTCCGCCTCCAGGTCCTTCAAATGCGTCATTGCCAAGGCAAGGTCTGAGCACATCGGCAGAATTGGCGAGAAGCTAGTTCGCCTTCCTTCGGGAATCCGTGCATTCTGGTCTCTCGCCAAGGCTGTCCAAGGGAACTTCTGTCAGCCATCTCTTCCATCTCTGCACAGAGAGGACGACGCACTGGCCCATGCCCCAAAAGAGAAAGCCGATCTGTTGAGCTCTCTTTTTGCGTCTAACTCAACTCTAGATGACGGGGGGAACACACCGCCGACCATCCCGCGATGTGAGTGCTTCATGCCGGATGTGCGATTTACACAGCGCTCGGTTCGCAAAGCACTCTTCTCCCTGGACGTCAGCAAGTCGAGTGGGTCCGATGGAGTCCCTCCCATTATACTGAAGACGTGTGCTCCGGAGATGGCACAGGTTTTAACGCGTCTTTTCCGGTACTCCTACTCCCGAGGCGTAGTCCCGAATTCAAGGAAGACTGCTTTGGTCCAGCTTTGGCCTATCGCCATCACCTCCTTGTTCTCCAAAATAATGGAATTCAAAATAAACTGCCAGCTTATGAGGTACCTTGAGGATCACCAGCTGATCAGTGACCGCCAGTACGGTTTTCGTCGGGGTCGATCAGCAGGTGATCTTCTAGTTTACTTAACTCATAGATGGGCGAAGGTCCAAGGGGGAGGCATTGGCCGTTAGTTTGGACATAGCGAAGACCTTCGATATGTTGCTAACTGGTAGCATTCATTGCTATGCGGACGACAGCACTGGGGATGCCTTATATACCGGTCGTGCCAATATTTCTCGGGAAAACGTCACCGAGTACCGGAACAAACTTGTGTCTGAAGTTGAGTCTTTGCTGGACAAAGTCTCGGATTGGGGGCGAATAAATCTAGTCCAGTTTAATCCTCAAAAGACACAAGTTTGCGCGTTTACCGCTAAAAAGAACCCCTTTGTCGTATCTCCTCAGTTTCAAGGCACTCCCCTTGCTGCCTCAGCCAGTATCGGAATCCTTGGCGTCGACATATCGAATAGCGTGCAGTTTCGTGGTCACTTGGAAGGGAAGGCCAAATTGGCCTCTAAAAAGCTTGGCGTGCTCAACAGAGCGAAACAGTATTTCATGCCGGCACATCGCTTGCAACTTTACAAAGCGCAAGTTCGGTCCCACATGGAATACTGTTCTCATCTCTGGGCCGGGGCACCCCAGTGCCAGCTCCTTCCACTTGACCGCATCCAGCGCAGAGCGATTCGAATCGTCGACGACCGAGTTCTTTCTAATCGGCTCGATACACTGGCACTGCGTAGAGATGTTGCATCTCTTTGCATATTTTATCGCATCTATCACGGGGAGTGCTCTGAGGAATTGTTCGGACTAATTCCAGCCGCTCAATTTCACCATCGCACATCGCGACAAAACTCGCGTTACCATCCATATCATCTGGATGATTGGCGGTCCACCACTGTGCGATTTGGAAGAAGTTTTCTCCCTCGTAAAACTTCCTTGTGGAATCAATTACCACCAGCGAATTTTCCGGACCGATACGACTTAGGAACCTTCTAGAAAAGAGCTTACACCTTTCGAAAAGGCCGGCAACGCATCTGCAATTCCCCTGGTTTTGCGGTTGTTCATGGGCGGCGGTAGTCACTTACCATCAGGTGAGCCGCATGTTCGTTTGCCCCCTATACTATAAAAAAAATACTGCCTCTCTAACGCTTCAAACTAGAACAATTCACACTACACTGCTTCTAGGCAGCAGATTTAGGTAGGTATGAGGGTAGTACCGATCTAGACCCACTCCTATACAGAAGGGAAACCTTTCCACCTAGTTAAAAAGAATACAAATGTACTAATCAATACTCATGTTTATTAAATCTGAATCCGAAACCGATCCGAAAGAAGTTAAAAATACTCTTAAATACTTATAGTGATCTACGACAGTAGTAGAATGGTTTAACCAAACCTACTGTGTTAAGATTTTCTATTTGTAACTGGCTATATGAATATTGTCACACTAATATTACAACGGAGACAAGTATTTTTTTCATTCATTACTGCTTATCCAATGGACATAGACCTACCCCGTAGATTATCTTATATTGTAGATATTTGCCATAGTTAACACGCGGGATGGCAAGCGCAGTTCTTTTTATATTTTGAGTCGTAATCAGGAAGATGCTGCGGCCCAGCCTGTATGAGTTTCTCTCTGTCGCTTCCTATGCCACCCACGGGTTGATATGGGGTAGTGTATTCTCTCGCAACTACGCGGCAAAAAAGGTATAATAAAGGTTTAAGAATTCTCTGAACAACCTTGAAGACAGTTTAATTTATCTCGTGTAATGTTTTTTAATCAAATTAATATAATTTGGTAGTGTTACGAAAATACTTTATAGATTTTATTATGCTAATAAACAGCACTGTTTTTAGACGAAAAGCAAGACAGAATCTTGGATGTTGGATGATTTTAGTGAAATCGCCTCGAATGAAATGTAATTAATACCACGTATTAATTATATTTTATTGCACAATTAGCGACCCGCCCTGTCTTCGCCTGGGTAGGATCTATTCAGACCATTTATTTTGCAAATTTTAGGCTTTCAAACAAAAATTTACAAGTTTTTCGGATTAAATATAGGCTAGGTCACTCGTGGCATTGCTCTCTATGTGTTCGTAAAGTTTTATAACAATCGGTTCAGCCATTCCGAAGTTTAGCCCGGACAGGCAGACAGAGAGACATACAATAACAAACATACAATAATTTTGTGCTTTTTCATTGGACTGTTTAAATGTTTGTGATAGATAATCTTCATTTTTTTTATATATATGTAAACTTGATTAATAAGTTTTAAAGCAGACCGGCAGGTAAAACCGTTAGTGATTAATTAACATTTTATATTTCATAATACTATATGTATATATAACTACTAATATTTATATGTATATATAAAAATACCAGCGTAAAATAGTAGCTTAATGCTGCTGTGTTTAGTATGGTGAGTGTAGAGAACTGGAGATTCTTTTTACTGGAAAAGAGGCATTCTATATTGGTCCTCATTGGTGACGACGCATCTGCATTTTGATTCTTAATGGAGCATAAATGTATATGTCTACGGGCCACAGCATCCACTTACCATCAGGTGGACTGTGTGCTCGTTTGTCACTTTATTCTATTAAAAATAAAATTATGGCGAACGTTAAGCCACAGAGCTACCATATCTTTAAATAAAACAAATCTACTATATAGATATTAACATTAACAATACTCCCTTTAACTATTGAGTTACGAGTATTACGCGTGATTTGCTGAGGTAATCAAATTTGCAAAGGTAAGTAATGCGAATTCTAAATCTATGGGTATATATATATATATATATATATATATATATATATATATATATATATATATATATATATTATAATATTACTTATTATT